CATAAGGAATGTGGAGAAAGAAAAGACAAATGAAAACCAAAACATAAGTAAATAAAATTAGAGACTTATAGGTGTGTTCAGCTAGTAGGAGTTCCACTTAGAACTGGAAAATTAGGATAAGGGCAGGTATTGTGGAAGCTGCTGACTTTTGGGTAATGGAGAAAAACCTAGAAAATTACAATATCTAAAATTTGAAGATATGGATGGATACAAGGGAAAAAATATTATATCTATGAAATATTAAATTATAAATATATACATATACATATAAAATAGAATTAAGAGATTATAGATAAGAGTACAATGTGAATAAAAACAAAAATGGAAAATGCAAATATAAAAATAAGAGACCATACATTGCAGAACTAACATTGCAGAACTATTGAAGTATAGACAGGGAAAAAAAATATGAATAATTATAATTATATTTGATTGTACATATGTAAGAAAATTACATTTAAATATTAGATAATATTGAGTCATGGTTAAAAAGTAAAATGAATACGAAGTCAAAACGGATGATCATACATCATACGGATGTATAATGTAAATATGAAATTAAAATAAAATATAAGAGAGATCATACAAAGTGGAATTACATATAATAATGAACAGTTAAATTGAATTAATCAATAAAAATTGAAAGTAGATAGAAATAATAGATTGTGATATATAAGTTATTTTTCACTTATAAGATTTAAAATGTGTCTATATGTTAAAGAAATGCAGTTTTTATCTACTTTATGATTAACAGGAATCTGTTCCATGTGAATGTGGATGGATTTGGAAATGAGTCTTTTTTCATGGTTAGGGACCGTGGCAAGAATAGAGGTTTTTTCAAAATCAAATGAATGGTTGAGGATTAAAGCATGTTCTGATAGTTTGTTAACAAATTAATTGTCCCTACTTACTCCAACCTCATATCCTACAACTCCTTAGCACACAGCTTATATGGACTCGCTAAACTCATCAAATTCCTTTTACCCTCTCTCCAAAAACTTAGCCACAATGATCCTTATGACATTAACAATTCATTCCACCTTAAAGAAGAATTATCTTCTCTCTATATTCCTGACAACTTTATCCTTCTTTCCCTAGACGCCGAAAGCCTATTTACCAACATCCTTATAGACAAAGTACAATAATTGTACTGAAAAACTGGACGATCATCGAACTTCACGCCATCCTTAACCTCTCCTCATATCTTGAACCCTTGAGCTTTGTTGCAGATCCGGATACCTCACCTTCCAAGGAAAATTCTTTAATAAGATTTCAGGCCTAGCCATGGGAAATTCTTTACCACCAGATATTTCCAATATTGTTCTCAATGACCTTCTCGGCTATCTTATCCCTTCTTTTCATCAAGACATCATTTTCATAAAAAAATATGTCGATGACCTCCTCCTTGTTCTTAACCCTGACAGCATACCTCAAATTCTTTCCTCTTTAATTCTTACCACCCCCATCACCTTTAACTATAGAGAAAGAAGTTAACAATTCACTCCCCTTCTTAGACCTCCTAATAATAAAAAACACTGACGGATATGTTTCTACAGACTGGTACACTAAACCCACGTACTCAGGCAAACTACTCAACGTTTATTCTCAACACCCATATCACCACAAAATCAATGCCGCCAAAAATTTTATTCACCGATCCCTCTCTTTATCTGATCCGCAATACCACCAAGCCAACACTCAGCTTGTCAAAAATATACTCCTTTCCAATAATTTCCCTCTCAATACTGTACTTAAACTGCTATACAACCAAAAAGAGTACAATCTCTCCTTCTCTCAACTCCCCACAATCACCTACCACTCCTTTCATACACAAATCTCTCTCCTATATTCCTATTCTCTCAGATAATATGCAAAAATTAGTAAAAACGACTATAACCAACTCAAGCCTTGGCCTATTCACCAACTTGAAGGATCCCATAATTTTACAACACCGATCTAATGTAGTTTACCGGATACCTTGCTCTACTCCTAATTGTAATAGCTCCTATATTGGTGAAACCAAAAAGCATCTCAAAACATGCATTTCCCAACATAAAACATCCATGACTTCCCGGAACCATTCTGCCTCCAAACTATCACCCCCTATCAACCCTCAACCATTCATTTGATTTTGAAAAAACCTCTGTTCTTGCCATGGTCCCTGACCATGAAAAAGACTCATTTCCGAATCTATCCACATTCACATGGATCAGAATCCTGTTAATCATAAAGTAGATAAAAACTGCACTTCCTTAACATATAGTCACATTTTATATCTTATAAGTGAAAAATAACTTATATATCCCAAACTATTATTTCTATCTACTTTCAATTTTTATTGATTAATTCAATTTAACTGTTCATTATTATATGTAATTCCACTTTGTATGATCTCTCTTATATTTTATTTTAATTTCATATTTACATTATACATCCATATGATGTATGATCATCCGTTTTGACTTCGCATTCATTTTACTTTTTAACCATGACTCAATATTATCTAATATTTAAATGTAATTTTCTTACATATGTACAACCAAATATAATTATAATTATTCATATTTTTTTTTCCTCTCTATACTTCTAAGTTAGTTCTGCAATGTATGGTCTCTTATTTTTATATTTATATTTTACTTCTTCCATTTTTGTTTTTATTCACATTGTACTCTTATCTATAATCTCTTAATTCTATTGTATATGTATATATTTATAATTTAATATTACATAGATATAGTATCTTTTCCCTTGCATCCATCCATATCTTCAAATTTTAGATATTGTAATTTTCTAGGTTTTTTCCCATTACCCAACAAGTCAACAACTTCCCCAATACCTGCCCTTACCCTAATTTTCCAGTTTTAAGTGGAACTGTTAGCTGAACACACATGTAAGTCTCTAATTTTATTTACTTATGTTTTGGTTTTCTTTTTCCACATTCCTTTATGTCTATTATTTCATATTATATCCTTTCTCCTTTTCTTTCAATCTCTCCTGTAGATCTGTAGAAGTATATTCACATTTGTATATATTATATATTACACTACAACAATTTTTACCATCTATTTACTTCAGTTTAGGATCTTGTTACTTAGCTTACTCTGTTTATATTTTAATGTACTTACTGTTTATAATTTTAATAAGCTTATTCACATTGTTTATAATTTTTTGTCTAAATATTATGTAACTTCCACAATTCTCTATCTTTTTGTATCTTGTCCGTTCTAGCCCTGAAGAAGACCTGCAAAGTCGGGTCGAAACGTTGGCTTTTAATAAAATAGTTTTGCCACTATTTAGCCTATTTATGACCGCCACCCCGGACGATCTCCTTTCTTTATATTTATTTGCATTACATTGCATATGTTTAATTATCCTTATACATACAAATTTTAATTTTTATATCGCAGTAATCTATACAATTATATATTACATAATACCAATGATAGCATTTATGAAAACCGCATATGTATATGTACATAATATTGTCGAAGTCCATATGATATTAAGCTCATGTTACGTATGGAAGCCTATTATAATCTTTCGGGTAAGGTCGAATACGTTTGTATTCCTTTGGCTCCTCCATTTCAACCATTATCCATTACGATCTTTTATTTCTTCTTTGTTTAATTATGAAATTCTTTCATATTTTATCCTTTCTCCTTTTCTTTCAATCTCTCCTGTAGATCTGTAGAAGTATATTCACATTTGTATATATTATATATTACACTACAACAATTTTTACCATCTATTTACTTCAGTTTAGGATCTTGTTACTTAGCTTACTCTGTTTATATTTTAATGTACTTACTGTTTATAATTTTAATAAGCTTATTCACATTGTTTATAATTTCTTGTCTAAATATTATGTAACTTCCACAATTTTCGATCTTTTTTGTATCTTGTCCGTTGATGTTAAATAAGGAAGATAACGGGTCGAAACGTTGGCTTTTAATAAAATAGTTTTGCCACTATTTAGCCTATTTATGACCGCCATCCCAGACCATCTCCTTCCTTTATAATGCAACGGTCAACTATTAAATATTCAGTAAATAAATATAGCGTCTATAATTTTTATATTAACTTCCAGTTTGTCTGAAAATACTTATTTCTACTAAGAGGATGGTAAGTGAAAGTCTTGTGATGCAGGCAACAGATTTTTTACATAAGTTTCCAATGTGAAATGGTTAATTATTTCAAATAAAAACAAAATTAAAGATACTTTAGAGGAAGACCATTTTCAAAATTAGGCATTTTAACAATGTCAGAGAACATCAATAAGAATATGACCTACATTATATTATATTATTAAAAAATGCTTAATTTTACACTGATATAACAAATTTAATCAAAACCGTTAAAGCTGTTTTTGAGAAAATTGTAAAAATGTGTAAAATTGATGATATAAAGTGGCACTTCTGGTTAGCCGATTTTAACAAAAAAGTTGCTGTAACATCCCAGGCATGTACAAACCTTAAATGAATAATTGAAGGCAAATTCTAAAAAAGGGAGTCTTGTTCCATATCCTGCCAAAATGCCTTTCAGCAAAGAGTGTGTATCCACAAGGCTGCTGCCTTGTGTTGCTACACATTTTAACTTTTTATAAATAATTTGAAAAAAACATGATGAATAGTTCAGCATGTTTGATAACATGGACCAAAAATTAGACAATTAATAAAATGCATTGAGACAGACAAAAGTAAAATTAATATAAAAGCCAAAATTCTGTCTACAACTCTTGAAGAGAAAAACTAGACAGAATATGAGGGTATAAAGGGAAAACAGATACTAGACCAACAGAATTCTAAAGAAATGATGGCATGGTTGGGTTTTAAAACATGAAGAATAAAAAGAGGAGAACAGATATGGAAAAGTTAGCAACATGCCAATAGTAGTATGAATCAAATTTCGATAAACATTTTTTGGGAAACAATTACACATAAGTCCCTCTTTGATATTTTTATCAGATTTACTATTACATTAAAAACTTAATAGATTAATACCTGCAGGTTCTAAAACGGGTTGAGTAGTGAAGAAATCAAAACTTTCTTAGTACCTGTTTAAAAAGAAAAACACTTATTAATTAAAAAATAAAATATACTAAACGAGGTAATTACTACTAAGTCATTCATATTATTCAAATGAAATTGATCTGTAGCTGTATAACAATGTTAGACAAATTGGACTAAGTTGATAGTTTTACAATTCCTAAAGTCCATGTGATTTTTAAGATGATTTTATGTGAGGTTAAAATTATAATAATAATATGGGTTTACAAACAAGTGATTTTTAAAATTAATAGGTAAACTCAAGCAAAGCCAACTCGATTAACAACCTCCTCCTAAAAGTACTATCTTGCTGGTACTGCCCATGGCAGTGACCGCTATTCCATACTGCCAACCGCTTATGCTTGTCTATTTCGCTGAAACTGCTCATCTTCAACTGCCAAATCTTCTCAATTTAGCATCCTAGTTTGATATAATTTTAAATAAAAATGTTAGCCTCAAATTTAATGGTTCATATTTGTATCGGAAGGATAACAATAGATTTGATGGTTGGGTTTGATCTTATTTAATTAATATATGCATTATTTTCTGGTAGTTAAAAGTTGAATAACAAGGTTAGGTTATGTCTGTACTATGAAATGTTACCAATTATCCACATATTAATTCCCACCTACAAAATTATTGTTTCTTGTACTATTTTGAATATAAAATATAAGCATTCAAGGTATTTTTAAGATGATAAAGCATTATTTTAAGAACTCAGGATTTATTTCCGATTTTAAATTTATAACTAATTATTATTTTGATAAAAGACAGTAATTATTACATAATAGATTAGTAATAAATATCATACATTTGTAATGTAATTTTTCAGCAGGCAACATTTTACCGTTTTATCAATAGGTAATCAGTAAATCAGTACTATAATTAAATAATACAAATTGATTTTTCAATGTCTGGATTTGAATATTTACCTGAAGTTAAAATTTTTCGGATTATTTAATATCATTTGGATCCTGGTAGTTGGCGGCTCCATCGCCCGGTCACATGACCGCAATCAGCCACTTGCCCTCTAGGTTGGGGGAACAATTACACTGACACCCACACAGTACATTACCATAACACACAAACACAAAGGACACCTACAGTACACACCGTGGGATCACCTTTCCTATGAAGCCGCCCCTGGAAGGGGAAGCAGGTCAGGCTGCTAAAGGAGATTTCCTCCTCACCTGAACCCAGTGCCAGGCGAGGTGTGCCTGTCCAGGTTAGCAATTGGAGGAGCACTGCTCATTACCTCACCCAACAACAGAACATAACTCACAAAGGTCACTCCTGTCGCCCTATGCTCCTTCTCTGCCTGAATGGTTGAGCCCGCCCGGGCAAGATGTTTCAGAGGGTACAGATGGAAACGAGAGATAGCACACCTCGGCCGCTGGGATAGTACAGGAGTCCGCACCTCCTAACCAGGAAGGAGTGGCTGCTCCATCAGCCCAGTGTAAAAGTTCAGACGATGTATTAGTGCCAGTTGGTGACTGGATGGGACCCTGATGCACGGACCGGAGTTGCTCCTCCGAGGTCACTGGACTCTACTCTCAGACAACACATTCTTCCAGAAGGGGGGTTGAGGCTGGGATGGCAGCATACCTACACTCACACCATACATTTAACACAAGACACAACAAAACAAAATACAAACGATGGATAGCCGAAATTGACCTCTAGCCTTTAAAAACTCTGGCTATCAGATGGAAGCGGGTTGGTTCCTCCTCACCTGCACCAATGAGGAGACCAGGGATTGGCTACTGACCGAAGGTTTATGATGAGGTGGTCTGCCGAGGCTCCCTGGCCCGGTAGAATTGTTATTGAACTAGGAGCTGAGGCCATCGATCCCGCCAGACTAATAAGAATCTTGGACTACCAGAATGAGTACCTGGTTGGAATCTCGAGATGGCAGTTCTTAGGAACTGAGGGCGACCTAGGACATCTGAGAGCAGTGTTTAAGGTGCCCAGCATCTCAATGGCATGGTTTGAGGCTCATGAGTGGCACATAAACTATGAGCTAGTTAGCTTAATAGTTTGGAGGGCGCGAACCATCTCCTCAAGACCTGTCAACCCCTCACAGGAAGACAGTATGAGGAGCAGGTGCCATTAGGCTCCTGCACTTCCTACTTCCCCTTAACAACAATGGAGTCCAATGTGATCAAGGTAAGACAAATTAATATGCAGCATATCAAAATGGCTACGGCCGAATTAGCTAAGCTTCTCAGGGGAGTTAAATCAATCCTCGTTCTAATACAAGAACCTTATTGTTTTAGGGGAATGATTGAAGGCTCAGAGGGAACAGGAGGAAGAATCATCCGACCTCTCCTAATTATAGACAAACCTAAGGTATGCATATGGGCCTCCAAGGATTCGCACATACTGCCACTCCCTCAGGTAAATATATGGAGCTCAAATCATATAAGGCCCCGAGGACGGATGGTATATTCCCTTGTGTGCTCAAAGAGGGTCTTAACGTACTACTTCCTCAAATCAAAGCATTGTTTAGATCCTCACTTGCACTTGGATATATAACGGAGTCCTGGAGGAAATCATTAATAGCCTTTATTCCTAGGAAATGCAAGGAGGATTATAGTGTTGCTAAAGCCTATTGAGCTATAAGTGTAACCTCCTTTGTATTTAAGATACTCGAGAAGTTGGTGGCAGTTCACTTAACTAATAAAGTGCGGAATTATTACCCATTACATCCAAACCAACATGCTTATCTCCAGGGAAAATCTACGGATACAGCTCTACACTCTCTGATAGGGAAAATAGAAAATGCCCTGCATTTTAAGCGAGTCTGCACTAGGACTCTTTTTTGACATAGAAGGGGCATTCGATAAGACTGAACTGGAAGCAGTTTGTAAAGCCTTAGTAAACATATCTGCCCCAACTGGACTTATCAGTTAGGTGAGATCTGTATTAAAAAATAGAATTATTGTTGTTTATGAAGATGTCAGATTGCAGGGGCGGGCGGTGAGGAGGTGGCCCCAGGGGAGCTGCATCCCACCACTGCTGTGTTGCCTGGTAATGAATGACCCATTAAATAGACTGGAGGAAGCTGGGATCTATGCCCAGGCATTCGCAGATGATGGCACAATCCTCATCACTGAAAAGTTCATGAGTACCATTTTTGAACTAATGCAAGTCGCTTACAACATTGTTCGGTCATGGTGTACTGATATGAACTTATCAGTCAACCCATTAAAGAGTTGATTTTCTTTACCAAGAAACGCAAACTGGATGCCTTCAAGGCTCCAAGCTTCTTTGGTAAGCAACTTCAACTAAGACAGAATATCAAATACCTTGGTATTACCATAGATTCAAAACTGAACTGGGGGCCACATTTGACAGAAGTTAAAAGGAAAACAACAATAGCCTTTTGGCATGTAAGACGTGCTGTAGGTATAACTAGGGGCTTTAACCCTAAAGTCATGCATTGGATATATACGGCAATAATTAGACCAAGAAGACAATACAGAAGCGTGGTGTGGTGGGTAGCCCTAAATAAGGCCACTCATATGCGAATGCTATGTCGCATTCAAAGAATCGCCTGCATTAGCATTACTGGGGCATTCCACACTACACCTACAAAGGCTCTGGAAATCTTATTGTCATTGACTCCGCTACACCTATGGATAATAGGTGAGGCGGCTATGGCATTTTTAAGAATGAAGGATAATAGACAGTGGAAATTAACAGGGACACACACCGGCCACTTAGATATAGCCAAGAAGGTGGAAAAAGAGTTACCTATCTTACGGTACCTCTCTCCGCCACTTGATAAAAACCTTACCCTAGACAGTAAGGTTAGCTATCTGTACTTTAACAAAATAGACTGGGCACAGGGTTCTATAGAGACTCAAAAGACTCAGGGGGACTACCTGCCCTGTTTTACTGATGGTTCAAGGAAAGACTCTACTAGTTTAACGGGTGCAGAAGTCTATATAGAGAACCTAAATATAGAACTAAGCATACCACTAGGTAAACATGCTACAGTATTTCAAGCAGAGGTGTTTGCAATACTTTCTGCAGCCACCTGTTTAGAAATTACCAATTGCGAGAATGCTGGCATCACTATCTATTGGATAGTCAGTCGGCATTACAAGCATTGGAGTCTCCTAAAGTGATCTCCACACTAGTGCAGGAGTGTAAACAGGCATTGGAGAAACTGGCCTGCTCCAAGAGGATGGGACCCTGGTCACAAGGGAATCAAAGGCAATGAAAAAGTCGATGTCCTTGCAGGGAACAGAGCGGAATTTTTTATTGTAGGCCCGGAACCTGCAATAGGAATATCCAAAAAGCATCAGCGGAAAGAAGTCCTTGATTGGGCTTGGAAAAAAGCAGGTAAAGAATGGAGGGAATGCAAAGGGCTTAGACAAGCGAAGCAATTTATTAAAACCCCCTCTCCCTTCAAAACAAAGTGGCAGCTGGGCCTAACTAGGAAAGAAATCCGACTCATCATCGGAGTGCTAACAGGCCACTGCAGACATTTAAAGATCTGGGATAGTGGATGATGAACTCTGTAATATCTGCAGAAGTGCACTTGAAACTGCCCTTCACTTCATAACGGAATGTGACCGATTTGCGTCACTCAGATACAGACTTCTGGGAGAAGACAGAATCCAAGTAATCAAAGCTGCCTCTATAAAATGGTCCAACCTTTTAAACTTTATTAATATAATAATAAGGCTTAGCGAACCCGAAGGTTCGATGCCGACACCACCAATCGCTTGTTACACACCTCCCTCCACCGTTCGCCGTCCAAACCCAGTCCCTTCAGATCGGCTTTAATGCAATCTTCCCACCTTCGCTTCGGTCTACCCCTCGGACACTTACCATTCGGCACAGCAAATATTAACCTTTTAGGAATTCTCTCGTTACTAAGCCCAACAACTTTACAAGCCCATTTGATTCGCCGCGATGAAATCACCTCAATTATATTACCCGGATACAGCTCACGCAATTCGGCGTTGTGTAACCGTCTGAACTCTCCGGTTAACTCATCCTTCTTCGGTCCGAATATTCTACAAAATACTTTATTTTCAAAAACCCTAAGACGCTGCTCATCCCTTAATGTAAGCGGCCAAGTTTCGCATCCATAAAGAACTGTAGGCAAGATAATTGTTTTATAGATTCTAATTTTTAAGTTTCGGGACAAGAGGCGCGAACTAAGTAGTTTTGTCATAGAAAAATAACAAGCATTCCCCGCCTTCAGTCTAACCTTAATCTCTTCTTCAATTTCGTTTTTTCTAGTTATCGTAGAACCTAGATACCTAAATTTATCTACCTGTTCAAACATATTACCATCTATATCGATATCACCAGTAGTATCGCCATTTTTGCAGCTAACCATATATTTTGTTTTATCCACATTTATTTCGAGTCCTAGTTCTTTACCGGTTTTCATTAACGTTGTCGTATTTAGTTTTATAGTTTCAACGTCTTCGCTTAACAGTACCAGATCATCAGCATAGCCCAGCACGGATGTTGTCCCGCCCAGGTCCAACCCTTTCTCGGTTCGCATTACCTCCCTAATGGCATGTTCTAATGCCAAATTGAACAGGACAGGCGAAAGAGACCCTGTTTTAAGCCCGAACAAACCTCAAATTTTTCGGACAAATTATTACCGATTCTAACTTTATTGAGTGTCTCCGTCAAGCACATCCTGACTAGATTTACTAGTTTTTTTGGAATCCCCTGCTCGATTAGAATATTATACAGTTTCTGGCGGTCAATTTAAACTTTATTAGAAGAACAAAAATGTTTGAGACAGAATAGAGGTACAATAGACAACCACTGGTAGTATCAAATTTTTGGGGTTGGCAAAAGAAACAATAGGCCCACTTGCTGGACTAAGTCCCCCCACCAGTACCATTTGTATCTAGGTACATTTGAAATTCTCTGTAAAATACTTTTAGTGGAATAAATAAATACTCTTCTCACTTCTACATTTAAAAAGTTATTTATTATAGCTTTGTTTAAATTATAAACAATATTTCATTTAATTTTGCCTAACTTAAAAAGAAAAAAAAGGAAATGAAACATATCAAGGTGAATGTTATCATCAAAACAATGCTCCGAAATGATAACGTAACCTATAACCTCGGTGCTGCCAACAGCTTCACTGCTTCAGGAGCAGCCAGAAAGGAACAGTATAGATATGTCATACCTAGACTGCCGGGCAGTGCCAACGAAATAGGTTCCTTTCTATTCCACTAAAGCAATGCTCAAGCACCAGCAGTTGATCCATACCATCGGCTACTAAGATAGATGACTTAGTAATTGTCAGATTGTCTGTAACTGTTGTAAACAAAGTTGTAGATTATTTTGTTAGAAAACACTAAATATGAAAAGTATACTTTCATGATAAGTCCAAATAGTTTTATCCGTAAGGTAGGTATTTTCTTTTTGACAGAATTTAATAAACTATTATCTCTTAAAATATTGGTTTGACTAACAATTGAGCATAAATAAATAAATTACTCTTTAAAGCTTCTCTAATAAAAGTGAAGATACTACTTCACATGTTTCACTCCAACATGATGGATGGAACCTCGTACCAGGAAAAATCCCAAGTAGCCTAAAAGGCAAGGAAGGGGAGAACAAAAAAAAAAAACTACTAAATAAGTACAAATACCATTGTGAAATCACAACAAAAGACAGGATATTTACTGATAACAGCACCATAACCTTTCTTAAGGATACCAGGGTAGTAAACACAGCTAAAGGCTACCATGTAAACATACTTTTAACTATGATAATTCTACAGAATAATAATGTAAACTTCAGATTATGATAGATTCAGTAGAACGAAATATTACATTAAAAACATTCAAGTTTTTTTTTTTTTTTTTTTATAATATAACATTTATGAGATGATATACTAATATCCCATACATATTGATTGAGTAGAAAAAGGAACTCTATATGTAATATGTGTTTGTGTATGTTTATTTGCAGGCCTCTTCAACAAATTATATGAATTAAATTTAAATATCCACTAGAAATAATAAATAACAAATTAATAATAATAATAAACCCACACCGTACCATCTTCCTCTAATAATAATAATCAATCACAGATTATGAATTTTGATACTAAGATGTATTTGTTTAAATTTAATATAATTTGTACAATATTATAAGATTATGAAAATTTGACATCACAACATTTAGAGAAGTTGATAACAATATTTAGAGCACTCACACACACAAACATGTACATACATATATATATATTAATTTTAAAACCACCGACTGAAAATTAATAAATGATTCTCGCAAATAAAAATGTAATGAAATTTTACAAACTAAACCTACTTACAAGACCAGAAAACATTCTTATATTAACATTCTGTTGCAGCGTGATTTGTTTCTAAATAATATTTATTACACGCAGTAACAAACCAAAATACTTTGATAAAAAAGAATTCATTTAAGATAACAATCCATAAATACCTTCAGGACATACACATACTATACAACCTAAAACTCGTAATGCTTTAGCAGGATGACTGACAAACAGGGCCGTTCAATTATAACAAATCATTCCATAGAGGTCGAAGATAAACATATCGCTTTAAATTTTCTGTATAATGGAGGGAAATCACTTTGAGTAGATAACATTATGTATTTTATAAAATCAGATCATCAGTAATGCTGAATATTTTAAATGATTACCTATTATTTTACATATAGGCTGTGTTACTTAAATGAAAATTTTTGTAGTAATGGGGTAGAAGAATAGTATATAAAATAACAAATAGTCGCTTTCTCAATCTGCCATTGAGAATGGGAATGGGATTTACTGCAGCCTTCAATCTTTATAAGATCAAATTGACTCATTTATTGAAAAAGTTCCTAACGTTTTAATTTTATAAGTAAAAACATATACTAATAACGCAAATTCTTCAACAATTCAATTGCCTTTCAACTAGATTATAGTAAATTAACTATTATAAAGTACATTTTGTATAATATACTGGTACTGGTAAGAGAGTGAGAACGAATTCGGGAAGTGGGTCTCCTGGTCCTTTTTGCCTTTGTCCAATATAATAAAAAAAACTTTTAGAGCAAAAAAACAAATAAACTTTAATAAGTTCAACATCAGGCAACATAAGCTATAATTTGTCGGTGGACTGTATTTTTTAGGCAACTAATGGGTTATATCCACGAATTAATTTTTGAGGGAGGGGGGCTTCAGCCCTAAACGTTTTTTTTTCTCTCTCTATTTTTTTTTCGGTTGACGCTACAGACCTTGTAGATCTTCTTCTAGACCACATCCCGATTCCTGATTTAAGACGGACCAGCAAGAGGAGCTATATCCCTCTACTTTGCCAAAATAGAAAAGTATTTTTTTTTATTGGTCTATATTCGTTTCTATGAATGATCTGAGCACTTCGAAATACATTGATGCCGTGTTATGGTATTTTTCTTTATATAATTAATTTATTGAAATACTTTTATTATTATTAAGTTATCGTTGCTTAGAATAGAATAGAATAGAAAATAAACTTTATTGTGGGAGGAGGTCCCTTAAGAACAACATTTATGAACAAAAAATAAAAACCACATCTGGCCAGAAATTAAATTAATCAAAATTAAAGAATGTATACAATATCTTCAGTGAAAGTATATTAAATCAAATAAAAAAAGTAAAACCGTTTTGAAAAAAAACAAACATTATTTAAATGAAAAGAAAAACAGAAATCAGAGGAAATAAAGAACAAAATGTTATAAGCACTACGGGGTGTTCTTAAAATTAAAACTCAAATAATTTCTAAAACCATTCACCTCAGTCAAAATTTGATTTATAATATTGATTTCATTTTACAACGTCATTTTGGAATGTGAGAAGGAATTGGTAAAGATTATATTTGAATGAGGACAAGGAAGAGGCATGGCGGATATCACTTAGCAAGGAATTCCAAAAAGCAGTGGATCGGGCATTAAAGGAATATTCAAATGTCATAGTTCTATGGGAGGGTATATAAAGGTCGGAAACACAGGATCTTGTTTTCTGGAAGTGGACCGCGGGTTTGAACTGTAGGAGACTGAAGATGTAGGGAAGGACTTAACTACATTGAATTAATATTATTAATATTTATAGTTAATACAAATTATTGTAAATGAGGTAGACATTTTTTATATTACATTTTTAGTTATAGATATTTTCAATCGAATCCTACAAAAAAGGTCTTTTTAAAATAGGAGGTATATTATACACACTAAATGAAGTAGAAACACTGTTAGAGAACTTGAATTATGCCCAGCAAGAGCTTTAACCTCCCAAGCAGCAAAAAGAAAAACAAATAAAGGAAAAATCGGGTGAGTATAAGTTTAGAAGCTCATCGATGGATCACACCTCCATCTGACCTTTTGTTTATAATAATTCGTTGCCGTCTTAAATAATAATAAATGTTAAAGCTAAAAGGACGGAGAATTTAACCACAAAAACTTATACAAAGATGTATTAAAAATATTATTCTGTCACATTAATAGCTACATAAATTTCATAAGTGCAAGTATAGAATCAAATAAAATGAAATTGTCTGTTTGGTAAAGTCCTGGATACTTAATGAATTTACCATGCCGCCCTGGCTCATTGATTACTATTCCCATGCCATAAAACACATATAACCGGCAGCGGAAGTGGGGTATTGACAATACTGATTCATAATAGCATAGCTTACGATGTTACCGTCTTGGAAATCAACCGCTTTTGGATTTTTTATTTAATATAAGTGTTTCTAGCATGGATGAACTTCATAATGTCATGACTCGCATAATGTCTAACTACCCACATAGCTATATTATCTTACCCGGTGATTTTAATGGGCACGTGGGAGGTTTAAATGATTGATAGAAAGGATTTTTGTCTAGCTCACGACTTCACAAAAAAAATATCGTCTATCGGAAATATGTGAACCGACGAGGAAAAATTCGAATAAAAACTCTGGAATCTCTAGGGATGATTATATGCAACGGCCGTAGTGTTTCGGACAGACTCGGAAAATATAATTTGGTTACAACCAAGGGCAGATTGATGATCGATCTGGTATGTATAAATGAAAATTTTCTGGACAGATTTATAGACATGGAAATCGTTAGTAAATCAGGACTTCTGGATCACATGGCTTCTATTGCCTCCTTCCAAACTATTAGAGCACAAAACCCTCCTATGAATAGAATACCTTCGCCAATAGAATGCTATGTCACTAACTATTTACCGTGGGATGAAGACAAAATTAATTTATTTTGTGAAAATACTTCTAATTCTGAAAGAATTTATTTCTATTCTGAAGATGTAAACCAGCTGTATGATAACTTCAAACAGGCAATGCAAGAGAACTTGTTGGAATCAGGTTTAATGTTTACGAGGAAGACGATACCAATACCAAGAAATACCAATCCGCAACCTAGGCACAAGTGGTTTCATCAGAAATGCAGAAGAGGTAAACGAAATCTGAAGAATTTGCGAAGAATTATGCAGAAGAACAGTTTGTCAGGATTTATCAGAGACTACCTAAAAGCATGAGATGAATAAAGAAAACTAATAAAAAAAAAAAATGGAATTTAGAGCATCAGTAATTACAAATTTGAGAAATGTAAAAAATAGAGGACAATTTTGGAAGAAGGTGAATGTTTTGAGACCATTTCACAATAAAAATAATGAAATAAGTCTGACTGATTGGTTTCGATATTACACGAATCTATACGGCCAAAAAACTCTACACGAAACACTTTTTCTCCGTAACTCATCCATTCCTCGATATGAATATGTCATTGCAAGAACTGCAACACAACATAGGTGCCAGTAAAAAAACAGAAATCTCCAGGACCTGATAATATAACTTATGAAGTTGTTAAATGTCTAAACCCCTCTTGGGAGCACTACATATTAAATTTATTTAATAGTGTATTAAATTCTGAACAAATTTCTGGGATGTGGGCAAAAGCTAACATGCATTTTCTGTATAAGAAAGGTGATAAAAACAATCCGAACAACTACAGAGAGATATCCTTGCTTAATATTCTAGCAAAGTTATTCACTAGCATTCAGAGGAACAGATCATCAAATGGACAGAATTACAAAAATTAATACCGGAGGAACAGGCTGGTTTTAGAACGGGCAGGGGATGCATCGATCACATATTCACATTGATGTCAGTTGTCAGCATTAATTTGAGGACAAAGGGCAACTATTCTTACGCAGTGTTTGTGAAACTGAGGAAGGCCTTCTACTCTATCGACCAAAACTTGTTGTGGAAAAGGCTTTTTTCTCTTGGAATGGTGGGGAAACTATTTAAGCTTTTCAAGAAACTCTACGATGCTTCATCGATGCGGATAAAGTTAAAACATGAGCTCTCAGAAGAGATTGGTATCAGCCTGGACCTGCTTCAGGAAGAGAGTCTTAGTCCTGCATTGTTTATCTTGTTTGTGTCGGATATAGTTGTGTAATTTCATGACCGAGGAGCTGTTGGTATCAGTATAGACCACAACCATGAAGTAGTTATGCTTCTGTTAGCGAATGATATTGTCCTCCTCAGTAATTCGTGGCATGGTACACAATAAAACATCAACATTCTGAGCGAGTACAGTAAAATCAAATTTTTAACCCTAAATCCAGCTAAGTCTAAGGTGTTGGTGTTCCACACCAAAAATTTGAGAGCCGCGAATCATTTCTTAAAAGATCATCTGTTGCAGCGACCAAAGTGATGGCAATCCTAAGAAATGGAAAAAGCGACTCTTGGGAGACAATAACCAGCCTCTTTGACTCGATGGTCTCGTCAACACTGCTGTATGCTGCAGAAAATTGGGGGCCAAGATACCTGGAGATTTTGGAGAGGACGCAAGTTCGATTTATCAAGTCAATGCTCCATTGGCCAAGAAATACACCAAACTATGTGGCTCGCCTTGAAAGTGGGAGATCTCCATTAAGTGTTGAAGTGTTGAAAAAAGTGATCAACTATAGGACAAAGCTTAGCTTAATGAGTGACGAAAGACTACCTAGACAATGCTTTCATAGGTTTAGAGCTCTAAACTTATCCAGTGGAAAACCTGATCCAACTTATGACTGGGTTACCCAGGTAAAGATGATTGTGGCGGAACTGGGATATTAGAGACTGTTATGTGTTTTCTCCCAAGGTCTGATAAGGTTCAAAGATGAAATCATTGAAAAAATGAGAAACCATCACGCATCCAAGGACATCGACGGAGTGTTAAACTTAAATCAAACCTAAGATATAGAAAAATCTGCTCCTTTAATGTTACCAGACCAGAGAATTATCTGCAGTTAAAGGCTCTGAATTTAAACAAATTAAGAGCTGTTAGTCGTCTCAGAGTAATAAGTAACGATTTTGTGAAGATATACTTAAAAATGCTACTTTGACTATTAACTCTAATGAAGTATGTCATGCATGCAACTGCATTGGAACAGAGTAGGTGACTCATTTTTTGATCCAATGTATCAAATTTAACAAACCAAGAAGTAAGTACCTGTAAACATTTATCACAGAATCGAGGGAAGATGTTAGTGTAG